AGAATGTTTCCTTAAAAATGATTTAAAGTTTTCTTACAATAAATGGCAAGTAAAACAAAGTAAGGCTTTATTTTCTCCTTTTTTCTTTCTTTTTTCTTTTTTTGAACTTACATATATTCAAAATTTTATTTACTTTTTATAGGATGTTACTTTTTAATGGCATAATTTTTCATGCATATAATTTTTATATATATTGGTACATATACTATAAAATATTATAAAACAATACCTTAATAACATTAAATATTACTGATAGTGGATTGAACAAAATAAAAAGGTATTCTTTTTGTTTTTTTCTTTTTTTTTTTTTGATGTTGCATGTTGGAGGAAGAAGGAAAAGAGACTTGTCACATCAGTGTTGGTCCTCTGAGGAGTGCTCCTGGATCCCCCAAGGGGCACCTGTGGCACTGAGGCCTGGACACGCTCCAGCACTGAGGAACCTGAGGTGCCGGGCAGCCTGTCACGGCACAGGGGGGTCTGCGGACCACCTGGTTCTTCGCGGTGCTCACAGGCCTCCTGGCCTTCCAGAGCAACAACGGAACGCGGACCAAATCATGACCAGAGGTTTCCCACCTGCTACTGCAATACCATAGGTTCCGTTCTGCGGGCCTTGTAATGTACATTTAAAGACTGAAGTATATAAAATACAACGCAGTGTTCATTTAAAGACTAGAATAATTCCTGAGAAAATAAAGTATATAAAAACAAATTAAGATCCTTGTCAGTTGAAACCTTGCCTATTGTCTGATGATTAGTCTCAAATTACATTTGAGAAGAAGTGTATGAGGCAATGTACTTCTCAGTTCGGGTTAGACTTTTTATACTTCTCATGCTCTCCATTTTTCCTCCAAAGGAATCATGCTGAGTTTCCCTGAATTCAGTTTTAATGTGTAATGTTCTCTAGGGTTGCGATCTTTCACTACGAAGTAACAGATATCTACGATCTTAACTTCCCTTTGAAAAATCAGTTTCTCTCTGCAGAACCAGGCAGCACCCCGGTGAATCGCCTCCCAGCCAAGAGCCACCCTCTACTTGTATCTTGGGTCCCATCTCTTCTCCCTTTTTCAAGAATCCTCTTCGATCTCTTGTGCAATATGTTCTCAGTACCTGCCACTTGTCCTTCTTTACTCACCCATTCCCATCGAATTAGAACATGCTCAAATTTCTTCCATCCCATTAAAAAAATTCCTGCTTTATCCCTATCTCCCCCATACCACCCTACCTCTCTCCCCTTCGCTGTCACACTTACTGCCAAGCTCACTATAGTCATGTCTCTGGTTTTTGTACCTTACGTTTATTCCTCAACCTGTTCCTCTCTCAATTTCACACTTAATGGTGGTGACGTTCCTTTCAAGTAATCAATAACATCGAAACAGCATTTTCAATCCTCCTCTCTCCTGGTTTTCAATGGAGCAGTCCAGCCATTCCTTATCAGCCTCTTTCATCATTCCTTTTCCTACGGCAATCACTACACTTCGGATACCCTCAAAGCCCTGAACTAGGCCTGCATCTAACCCTGAAAAACTCATCTGTTGCCTTAGTTTTGTAGACATCTGCTAACTGATAACTGCAAATTTTTTCAGAGCTCTGTTCTGACACCCAGGCTTGTATAATGCTCATAGATTGGGTTCCCAGACTGTGGGATGGAAATTAGCAGCCAGGAGCATTTTTAGGGAATACTCTTAGGATCCACATCTGTGGAAGGGAAAGGCGGGGAGCAGTGACGTCTGCCAACTCTGGGTACCTCTGCAACTGGGATATCCCTTTAGAAGTGTCCTCAGTTGCAATGGAGGGTCTTTTCTTAATCATTCTTATTGGCCAGGCACTGGTTAATGGCAGGCCACCCTTGGAAGGAGCTATGACCTTGGGAGGAAAGATTTTCTTCAGCTGAATCAACTGCCTTAGGAAGCTGATAATTGAGAACTTCCAGCAGCTGAGAGAGTAAGTCTTTTTTTTCTGAAAGGAATCTGCGTCGGTCATCACAGCATCGACTGCAAGAATCAACTGCTTACTTAGTATTTTTTCTTGGCTTCCCAAGAGATACTTCAAAAATAACATTTTTGACACTAAACGCTTCATGCTAAACTCCACTCCTTCATACTGCTTCTTCCTCCGAGCCCTCCTACCACACTCAGACGGCTATCATCCACTTAGTCAAGCCAGAAACCCAAGTGTCCTCCTGAACCTTTTGTCTGCCTCACCCCCACCCACATCTGATCAGTCTAAATGTCATGATGACTTCACATCCTAAATTCCTCTTGCTCCAATCTAACTTGTACCCTCCCTGCTGCTGCATCTGTTGATTTGCAACGCTCCTGGGAGTTGCCCAGGTAGAATCTGAAACTGGCCCCTGTACTCTGTGAGCTGGATAGGGCGGAGGGCAGGGAGAACGAAGAGAGGCAGCCCACTCCAGGTTGGTAGGTGGCAGATGTAATAAGCAAAGGGGACTTACATATGAAGCTTGCCTTGGACGGCAGCAAGATCACAGGATCCTTGCACCTGCTCATCAGATCTTAAGGTTTATATAGAGGCCTTAACTAGGTTCAGTCATGCGTACCATGCAGGTGTTCTCAATACCCCATGACTATCTATCTATGTCTTTGGAGTAACCTCTGGCAGTGGGAAAGGCAGATGGAACCCATATTCCAAGGACAGGGGAGGGAGTCAGGAGCAGAGATCCAGCTCACAGGTCAACCGGTGGCCACATCTTTTTGATGACCTTCCCCAACAGCCTCCAGTGTAAATTACCATCATAGTTTGGATGATGGCATTCTTTTCTTAAAAGTGGTTTCTCTATGCCTACATTTCCCCCCCTTCAGACCAGTCTCTCCTTACAACAGTCAGTGGTGTCTTTTTAGCAATTACTATAAACATTTCATTTCAGTCAGTGACTTCCAATATCTTTAGTTTGGCCTACAAAGGCCTTCATCACGGGACTGCAATCTCTCCAGGTTTACCTTGCTTCACTCTCTCCTTCACTCCTTTCCACTCATTCCACACTGGCTATATACTAACTTCTTGGAAACATCATGTTCTCTGCACATGCTTTCCATATGATCCTCCCTCACCCAAAATATTTTCTTTTCTCCCTTCAAGTCTCAGCTTATATATCACTTCCTCAAGGAAGCTTTTCTTGAGCATCCAGGACTAGGTTGCATCCCCTGGTGTTCATTGACAAAGAGAGTGTCTTTCTTGGCACATGTCATCTTCTATAGATTTGGTTCACATCTTCCTTTCCCACCAGAGCACATGCTCCATAACAGCAGGAACAATGTGTCTTATTCACTGTTTTCCCCCAGTGCTCAGCATGATGCCTAGCATATGGTGCCTGCTTAATATTTGACTTAGTGTGTGCCATTCCCTCTCTGTGGGATGTCTTCTCTAGGCTTGCAGACCTCAGGCTTTTCCCAGGAAGCTTCCAATACACCCCCCTAAAAAGTTAATTACCACCTCCTCCATGCCACCACTTTACTTTGCACATGCTTCCATTGTTGCATTTTTCACACATTCATTTATTTAGCATTTAGAGTTTATAAATTGACGGCTCATGAGCCACATTGCTCACAAAATATTTTTAGACTCCCTCTCCACATATAAAAATCAGTAGATTTCACTAAAAAATCAGAAGATATGACAATACTAAATACGTAGTCCCAAGACAGTTACCCACCTTGAGCAAATTTTCTGTTTTCTGAGATATAGCAGGCGCTCAATATTGTTTATTAATGGATTAACTGATTAATTGAAAATGATTAACACTTTTCTATTGATATTTAATTTCAATCAAATTTCAATTTTATAGGATCCACTGTGGACAATGACTATAGCATATTAAAAGAATGATTATGAACTCAAGGACAGTTCTGAAATATACATGTTGAACACTGAATGAATTCATATTTAATCCACAGAGTTAGGTCCAGTTGTCCTTCATTAGAAAATTGAAGCTTGAGGGTTTAAAGAATGTCATCAAGGCGCATGGGTGGCTCAGTCATTAAGCCTCTGCCTTCGGCTCAGGTCGTGATCCCGGGGTCCTGGGATCGAGCCTCACGTCGGGCTCCCTGCTCTGTGGGAGGCCTGCTTCTCCCTCTCCCACTCCCCCTGCCTGTGTTCCCTCTCTTGCTGTGTCTTTCTCTGTCAAATAAGTAATAAATAAATAAATCTTAAAAAAAAAAAAAGAATGTCATCATATTGAGAAGATCTTGAGTTAGATGAACTGAATAGCTTCCAGATAAGAAAATGTGCTATTCTAGTAACAACAACCAGTCCCACTAGGGGGTTTTAGTACCCCAGTAGTGCTATTACACAGGCTTATGAATGAACACTAATAACAAATGGAAGTATAACTGTTACTTCAAAATATTACTTGAAAGTGTAAAATATAAAAATGGAAAGTGTTGTTCTTTTTTTAGCCACGTTCCTTGGGCAACATTTTAACATGTGGATAGTTCACCACCTCATAATTTGATTAACCTTGAAGCTAATACTACAGTTAATTTTTTGAAGTTCTTTACATTTAGAAAGTATAAAGGGCAGTCTTTTCTCTATTTAATAAGGTAAATCCTCTAATATGATGTATAGTTTCTTATCTCTAGTGTTTGGTTCTTTAATATTGACAGAAAGATTGAATTAAAAGTACCAGAAAACCCAATGTTAATGAATATGATAAAAACAAATATCTTGAAGGCAATTATATAACACAATGAATGGATAATAGGAAACAGAAATACTTTGACATGTAGATCAATCTTTTTAACAGAGGGAAAGCATGCAATAAAGGTTAGGTTACATGTCAGATCAGTCAAATTAGAATGGAAACAACATGTTCTGGCTTATTTATAAATAAAAAAGGTCAACATAGACAATTTAGATTCAAATCTTCAAAAGTTAAAACTTAGAGACTTGTAATTTTTCTTCTAAAAATTGTTTTATAAAGGATTTTATGATGTGTTGATACACTATTCTTCTTTTTTTTTTTTTTTGATACACTATTCTTCTTTCTGCCATACATTTTTATGTCCTGAAGGGTTGTTGATAAGACAGCATCCTTGATGAGAAAGAGAGAGAAGGAAGAGAGATTTTTGAAATAAGCACCATTTTTGGTCAAGTATTTGTTATAACTTAGCCCTTCAACACTTCATATAATTAGTCATTGTTTTAGCTAGTTATTGATAAAAGCAAGTAGACAGACTTGGTGATTTATACCACAAATTCCTTTTTCAAATCTCAGTGTCATTTGATAGAATAATGCCATTTTAAACATTTTTTTCTAAGTTATTTACCTCTTTTTCTCTTTGAAATGAGAAATACAAGACACACTAAGACACTTAAACACATATAAAATTTTTCTGTCCTGATTTTACCATAGTTAAAAATTTTTAAAGTTTTCCACCCATGTGTCTCTTATGAATGTTTTTATAGACTGTTCAAAGTATCTAAAAAGTTATCCTTATGTTGTTCATATAGTTCATTGTTCACAATGATTAGAACACAAACACTTTGCCATTAAGTTATTTTTATAATATTCTTTTCTAAAAAAGATTTTATTTATGTATTTCAGAGAGAGAGAGCAAGCACAAGCATGAGGGGGGGGCAGAGGGAGAAACACACTCCCCGCTGAGCAGGGAGACTGATGGGGGGCTTGATCTCAGGACCTGGGATCATGACTAGAGCCAAAGGCAGACTCTTAACTGACTGAGCCACCCAGGCACCCATATTTTTATAATATTCTTAATCAAAGATAAAGTATAATTTCCATTTTATACTGTATCTTTAAAAGTGTCAAAATCCTGATTCTATAAAATGATTTACATCATTTTATTGTATTATTGTAATATTTTATTAAAAACAGGATTATATTTCATTCATCAAGAAATATAAAATAGGGTTATTGTTTTTCTCTGTCTGACTTATTTCACTTAGCATAATAACCTCTAGGTCCACCTATGTTGTCACAAATGGCAAGATCTCATCCTTTTTATGGATGAGTAATATTCCATTGTATATATAATATTCTACATCTTTTTTATCCATTCATCTATCAATAGCACTTGGGCTGCTTTCATATCTTGGCTATTATGAATAATGCTTCAATAAACAAAAAGGTGCATATATCTTTTTGAATTGCTGTTTTTGTTTTCATTGGGAAAATACCCAGAGGTAGAATTATTGGATCATATAGTATTTCATTTTTAATTTTATGAGGAACTTCCATACTGTTTTCCATAGTGGGTGTACCAATTTACATTCCCACCAACAGGGCATGGGGGTTTCTTTTTCTTCACATCCTTGCCAACACTTGTTATTTCTTGTCTTTTTGATTCTAGCCATTCTGACAAGTGGAAGGTGATATCGCATGGTTCTGATTTGCATTTCCCTGATGATTAGTAATGTTAAGTGTCTTTTTGTCTGTTCATGTGTCTGTTGGCCATCTGTATATCTTCTTTGGAAAAATGTCCTCTGCCCCTTTTTAGTTGGATTATTTGGGTATTTATTTATTTATCTTGAGAGAGAGAGCATGAGCAGGGAGGAGGGGGCAGAGGGAGAGGGAAAGAATCTTAAGAAGACTGCACTGAGCATGGAGACCGATATGGGGCTCAATCTTATGACCCTGAGATCATGGCCTGACTAAGCCAAAAATCAAGAGTCGGACACTTAACTGACTAAGTCACCCAGGCACCCCATTTGGGGGGGATTAAAATTCTTCATATATTGGGGCACCTAGGTGGCACAGTCAATTGAGGGTCCAACTCTTGGTTTTGGCTTAGGTCGTGATCTCAGGATCCTGGGATCAGGCCCCACATCAGGCTCCATGCTCAGCGAGGAGTCTGCTTGGAATTCTCTCCTTCTCCCTCCACCCCTCCCCACTAAGCTCACTCTCTCTCTTTCAAATAAATAAATAAATATTTAAAAAATAAAATAAAATTCTTCATATATTTTGGATATTAACCATTATCAGATATATCCTTTGCAAATATCTTCTCCCATTCAGTGGGTTATCTTTTTGTTTTGTTGATGGTTTCCTTTGCTATGCAGAAGCTTTTCATTTTGATGTAGTCTCAATAGTTTGTTTTTGCTTTTGTTTTTCTTTCTCAGGAGACATATCTAGAAAAATGTTACTAAGGCCAAAGACAAGGAGATTACTACCTGTTTTCTTCTAGGAGTTTTATGGTTTCAGTTCTCACATTTAGATCTTTTACCCATTTTGAGGTTGTGTGTGTGTGTGTGTGTGTGTGTGTGTGTGTGTGTGTGTGTGATGTAAGAAAGTGGTCCAGTTTCATTCTTTTGCATGTAGTTGTCCAGGTTTCCTCATACCGTTTATGTCCAAACTTCTTTTCCCCATTGTATATCCCTGCCCCCTTTGTCATAGATTAATTGCCCATATAAAAGTATGGGTTTATTTCTGGGCTCTTTATTCTGTTCATCTATGTATCTATTTTTATTCTAGTACCATACTATTTTGATTACTACAGTTTTGTAGTGTATTTTGAAATCTACAATTGCAATACCTCCATTTTTGTTCTTCTTTCTCAAGATTGCTTTGGCTTTTTGGGGACTTTATATAAGTCAGACAGAGAAAGACAAATACCATATGATTTCATTTATATGTGGAATCTAAAAAAACAAAGAAACAAAAAGCAGACATAAATCTATAAATATGGAGAACAAATTGATGGTTGCTAGAGAGGAGGTGGATAGAGGGATGGACAAAATTGGAAAAGAGGACTGAGTGAGAGAGGCAGGCTTCCAGTTATGGAATAAGTAAGGCATGGGAATAAAAGGTGCAGCATAGGGAATATAGTGAATGGTATTATAATAGCATTGTATGGTGACAGATCATGGCTACACTTGTGGTGAGTATAGCATAACAATAGAATTGTCGAATCACTATGTTGTATACCTGAAACTAATGTAACATTGTACATAAACTATCCTCAAATAAAAAACAGAAAAGAATGAGGAAAAAAAACAAAAAAGTATAAAATATGTACTTTTAAATTATCTTATGAGGAAACACTTTAGTGTTTCCAAGCTCTTACACAGACATGTGTTCCTGAAAATAACTTAATTTTAATCATTGTTATTAATATGCTCTTCTATCAATAGAAAGATTTGTACAACTTTGTTTCCCATCTTTATAACTTATACTTGGACCTATACTGGGAAGTGGGAGAAAATGCAATCTTCTTTCTCAAAATATAGGTTAATTTTTCCACATTTAAATATTGCACATATAAATCAGTTTATTTTCCAAATTGCCAAAGTGTCACAGATATGAAATAGCAAACAGTACTCTGACTTCAGACAACTCAGAAAGTTTGTTGAATTAATTAATACTTCTAGCTTAAAAAATGAAATTATTTTATCCTATATAATGACCATGAAGTAGGAGTTTTGTAGAACCTGTATTTCTGAAATTTATAACATAAAGAATCTCTTGAATAACAATCTGAAGAAAATAATTAGTTGTAGGCACAAGCTTCTTCTTACCTTTCTCTGTGAATGCATCTTGGATATTTTAAGTGCCCTCTGTCACACTGCACTCTGAGTTCAGATCCAGTAATAGCGAACTCAGCTACATACGTATTTCTCTTACAAAGAAACTCAATATACTCGCCATGGAAAATATGTGGTCTATCGTCAAAATCCCATTTAAGGAGTAAATTATTATTTTCCATTTCAACAAAAGATAATGTGCAAGGCTCTGAAAAAATAAAAAGAAGAAAATTATCTTGACACATCTTGGCACTAACAGGAAGCATTGTGGTTCCTATTCATGATGACCTTAAAATTCCCAGACTCTAGTGGCAACTAAGTTAGAATTAATATTTGAGTCAGAGAATATGTTCAAGGCTCACAGAAAACAGTCTGCCATTTGTCTGTGTGGTCCTGGACTTGGAAAAGATGTATGTCCTGCCAGTCACTTAGCTTTATGCCATTATGGTTTTCAAAGATAGTAAACAAAAAGGGTGTTTTTATAAAGAACATTGATAGTTACCAATAATTATTGAAATAATGTTCTTTTTCTTATTTTTTTCTTCAGAAAACTTAAATAAATTCCCCATGAAACAAAGTATTTGTTTGATTATTGGATAGATAAAATATTATGGAAATGTAGAAAGAAGCTGGATTGTTAACAATGACTCAAACTCTATGACCTGATGGCATCCAGAGTGGTTGACAGTTTCCTCTCTTTGAAATTTCCAGTTATCAATATCAATATTAGATTAAGATGTTTTGAATTCTAAGCATTGAAAATATTATTGTGTCCTTTCACTAATTCATTAAAACAAAACAAAATAAAAACTTAAGATAATTATTAGGATACTCAACAAATTCCTTTGATCTTTTTTCATAATAAAAATATTGATATTTTCAAAATGTCAAGTTATTTCAGAAAATGAGTTGTTTGTGTTCTTCTTTGCCTCCTGGATGACATGGCACCAAACAGTAGGTCCTGAGACAGGTTAAAGGTCCAGAGTTGTTAATAAAGCATATAAATCATACAACTGGAATACATTAACAAACTTCTTTATTCAATATTTTCGGTAAGTATTTATTGAATTCCTAAAGTGTCAGATGTTATGCTAGAAGTTCTATAGACAGAATAAAAATGAAGAAAAAGAATCAGAAAGACTCTAAGAGAATCTCTATAGTCACTGCAAAATATCTTTGAAAATTAGGTCAAATAGCACTATAAAATGTTATAGTTCTACAAAACATAAAATTTTAATTAAAACAAGTTAAAAATTAATTCATGGACCTTCTGCTCTCAGCTATGACAGCATAGTCTATATCAGACCAGCTAATCAGAATAGTGACAGAATAGTCTATATCAGACCAGTTTTTTCTACCAAAAACTAGAAAATTTGAAAACTGACACGAAGTACGTATTTCAAGGAATTAGAGCATTTCAAAGGCACTCAGTACTCAAGATGCCAAGGTTCTGGTAAAAGCTCATTCAGATGAGTCCAGCATTCTGTGTTGGGGCATTTCCTCTTGGGGCATTTGTTGATTCTCAGCATGAGCTGAGAGACTGTAGAGAATGGTCAACAGCAAACATAGAGCTAGCAGAGCTTTTGGAAATCTCATGTTGTTGAGGATAGAAACACAGAAGTTTAAGTCAGACATGACAGCCAGGACTTGAGTGGTCAAGAACCCAGAGGAATGGGAGATACAGAGAATGAATGTGATACTCTGCACTGGCTGTTTGTTCCCTTGAAGCATTTGCCTATTCTTGACTTGTGCAAAGAGAGAGGATAAAGAGCCAAGCAGAAAGTGAATGAAAAGCTACATTAAGCTTTTTTGGCAGTCTCCCAGTAATAAGAAAGGCAGTCAAGAATGAGGAACCTTGGTATAAACACCAAACTCTTAGTGAAGAACCCTGCAGGGTTATGTTCTATTAGTAGGAGCAAACAAAGGTCTGAAAATAAGCTTAGAAAAAGCTGCATTTCTAATTAGATTGAGGCCAATTTCCCCTACACTATCAGCCTAAAGAAGAGATGCGTATTCTCTGGAACAAGATGACATCATCGTTTCGAGTCTCTAAAATTTTCCATACATAATATTTGATATTCAATCAACTGTTAACAGAAATAGCAAAAAATTAGGCTAGAAATCGAAATAGGCCTACAGATGATCCAGATAATGGAGTTTGCAGGCAAGGACTTAAAGATAGGTGTGATTAACATGGTAAAGAAATAGATGTTAAGATAAAGTTTTTCATCAGACATCTGAAATCTACAAAAAAAAAGGCATAAAATGATATTCTAGAAATACAAGGATATTGAGAGCTCCATAGATGAGTTTAAAGCAGATTGGACACATCTAAAGAAAGGATTAATGAATTGGAAGATATATCAATAGAAAATTACCAAATGGGAACAAAGAAGATTAAAGGTACCTTCCAGAACTATGAAAAACATAAAGCCACAGATTCAAGAAGTGCTACCAACTTGAAGCATGAAATGCTCAGGGGGCCCTGGGTAGCTCAGTCAGTTAAGCATCTGCCTTTGGCTCAGGTCATGATCCCAGGGTCCTGGAATCCAGTTGTGTATCAGGCTCCCCGCTCAGTGGGGAGTCTGCTTCTCCCTCTGCCCCTCCCCCATTCATGTGCGCATGCTCTCTCTCTCTCTCTCACAAAAATAAATAGATAAAATCTTTTAAAAAAAGAAAAGAGTGAAATGCTCGGAGAAACACATATCAAGGCCCCGCATAAATAGCCTACTGAAAATAAAGGGAAAAAGAATCTCAAAACCAGTAGAGTACAAAAAGAAACTTAGTTTCAAAGATGTACCACTAAGAATGGCATTGACTGGGACACATGGGTGGCTCAGTTGTTTAAGTGTCTGTCTTCAGCTCAGGTCATGATCCCAGGGTCCTGGGATTGAGTCCTGCATCGGGCTCCTTTCTCAGCGGGGAGCCTGCTGCTCCCCCTGCTTGTGTTCTCTCTCTCTCTTTCTCTGACACATGAATAAATAAATAAATAAATAAATAAATAAATAAATAAATAAATAAATAAAATCTTTAAAAAAATAAAGAATGCAATTGACTAACAAAAACTACAAAATGCAGGGGTGCCTGGGTGGCTCAGTCGGTTAAGCATCTGCCTTTGGCTCAGGTCATGATCCCAGGGTCCTGGAATCAAGCCCCACATCAGGCTCCCTGTTCAGCAGGAAGCCTGCTTCTCCCTCTCCCGCTCCCTGATTGTGTTCCCTCTCTCGCTGTCTCTCTCTGTGTCAAATAAATAAATAAAATCTTTAAAAAAAAAACTATAAATGCAGAAAAGGATAAAAATGACATCTTCTAAAGCATGGAAAGAAAAAGGGAATTCTATCTCTGGTAAAATTCCTCTTCAAAAGTGAAGGAAAACCAAGAAATTTGCAAGCAAACAAAAACTGAGAAAATAATAAAGAAATAATATTTTTCAGGCATGTGCAAAATGATCCCAATCAGAAATAGCAACAAACAGGAGAAGATGAGAAACGAATCACTGACAAACATATCAAGAAGTCTTAAAGAATATTTTTGGAAAACATAATATTCACTGTATCTTTGGGACTTAAACAATATGTAGAATGAAAATGTATGACACAGTAATACAAAAAGTGGGAAGGGTAAATCAAGCTAAAGTGTTCTGGGTCTTGGAGAGGTGGTATAAGTCCTAATTTATATTCAACTGTAATAAGTCATGATTGAATTATGTAATTTATGTGATAACAATTTGAAAGGAATCCAAGAGAAAAGAATAATCGACAAGCTAGTAGAGAGTGACATGGTTTAAAAAGAATTGATTTACCCAGAAGAAAGCAAAGAGAGAGAGAGAAGAAGAAAGAACAGAAAGGATATATATCAGTACTTATATAACATGTATATGGACAAATACTATAAAAAGATGGTCAGACTAAATAAATATGCTTTAAAGTAAACAACTATATATTGCTTGCAATATATACACATTAAAAGTAAGAAACCAAAATGTTGAAAGTTAAAGAATGAAAAAATATATGCCTTGTAAATACTTGTTGAAAGCTTGTACATCTAAAGTAGACTTCAGGCAAAAACAAACAAAAACAAAGTATTAGTATAGATAAAGGAGGACTCTTTTAAAATTACACAGGGCCAGTACACCAAGATTTAATATGCTTGAATTTGTGTGTACCTAGTAGAATAGCATAAAAAAACAAAAGCAAAAATTGAGAGAATACAAGAAATGTTTTTAAATGCACAGAGTATAAGGGACTTTAACATACTTCTTTTGGTGACTGATAGAAAAACAGACACAAATCAGCACAGATATGAATGAACTTAATATGCAGCAACAGTGAATCCAACAATGACAATTATTTGTTTATGTCAAGTACAAAAGAATGTGTACCTACAATAAATAAATGCTTGTAATAAAGTAAGTATCAATGAATTTCAAAAGACTTATATAATTCAAAGTGTGTCTCAATGGATTCAAATTAGAAATCAATAACGAAAGGAAACTAGAAAATCTTCCAATGCTTAGAAACTAAAAAACAAACTTCTACATAACTCAGAGTGCATACAAGATATCAAAAAGGGTATCATGTATTTTTTAACTGGATGGCTGAATAATGATAAAATTCCAAAATATAAAAATGAGTGGGATAAAGTTGTGCTCAGTAGGAAATTTAAAGATATAATTATATCCATATTGTATCATTAGCAAATTAAATTAAATTTTCTTTAAAAATCCTTTAAAAAAGAAAGGCTGAAAATCAGTAATATAAGTATCCACCTAAAAAGCTAAGAGTAATAAAATAAATTTAGGAAATTAGAAGAGAGAAAAGAATGATAAGAATTTAAATTATTAAAATAGTAAGCAACATTTGATGAAAGGGTAACAAATGTAAATACTAGTTGTTTGAAAGGCCTAATAAAAGTTATAGACCCAGGGCCTGGATGGCTCATTTGGTTTACTGACCAATTCTTGGTTTTGGCTCAGATCATGAATGATCTCTGGGTGCTGAATTAGAGCCCTAGGTTGAGCTCCAGGCTCAGTGGGGAGTCTGCTTTCTTTCTCCCTCTCCCTCTGCTCCTGATTCTCCCCCTCTCTAAAATAAATAATCTTTTTTTTAAAAAACCCCAAACTTAAAAAAAAAAGACAGTAATAGACTCTTAGCAAGCCATGTCAAGAAAGAAAGAGATACAGCTTAATAGCAGTAAAAACAAATGACATATCACTAAAGGCATTAAAAATAATGTAAAAGGATGTTGTAAACAACATTATGTCAACAAATTTGACAATTTAGATATTATCAACAAATTTCTATAAACCACCCTACGAAAACTGACAGCTGTCAGGATCTTTCTTTAGAGAGAACTTGATGTTCAAATGGCATGTTTGGTGGATTCTTACAATTATTAAGGAAGAAATGGTACCAATCTTACACAAATTCCAGAGAATTGAAAAAGAGGGAGCTTACCAATTCACCATATAAGGAAAGCAGAAACTTCATACCAAACCCAAAGGAAAATAACAGACTCATCTCTCTCATAAAAATAGATGTGAACCTTCTAAGTAAATATAAGCAAATAAAATCCAATAACATGTAGAAAGCATAATTCATCACAACCAATGTGATTAATTACAGGAATGTAATCATGCTTTAATATTCAAGAAGAAGAAATATAATTCCAGGAGGAAAAAGCAATAATGTGATTATTTCAATAGATAGTGCTAAAATTAAACTCACAAGATTTTTTTAAAAACTCTTAGAAAAATAGAAATTAAACTTTCTATATTTTTAATTTGATTTTGAAGTATTTATAACACTGTAATTAAAGATGAATTGTTGAAGGTTTTATTTATGAGATTGGGAAACAAGATACCCACTACATCTTCTGCTCAGTATTGTACTCAAGTCCAAGCTGGTGAAATAAGATAGTAAATAAGTTAGATATGGAAACAAAAAAATATTTTCTTTTTATTTAAAGATATGCTTTTTTATGTCTCCTGAAAATTTTCACTAATAAGGCATAACTTGCTTTAACTTTCTTTGTTTCCCCATTGCACTCATGTTTTCTATTATAGTACCAGTCACATGGTACTAAATGATAACTGTTAACATATGTACCCACACCACCATGACTTATTCATCTTATAGCCCCATAAAACACCAGTGCTTAGTGTATGGTTTGTATTTAGTAAATATTTGTTAGGGCAAGATGGACTATAGTTATTTACGATCTACAGGAGAGAATAGAAACCAGTGATGAAATAGGCACACTGGTACACAAATATAGCAAATTAAGCATTATAGTAGTATTATATTAACTAACAGACGAGAAAGTGGGAAAAGATATGGTTTTATTTTATTAAATAGGTGGATATTTTGTAGTACATACCTAAACACAATGGTGGCATAGTCCACACTCCCTCTAAACAATAGGACTCCCTAGATCCTTGAAGGAAATGGTGATCAAAACATTTGTATTCTACTGAGGAACCATTTTCATAGATGTCTGATGTTGAACTAATTATGACTCCATTTTTAATAAGTGGAGGAGATACACACATTCCTTTAGATTCTGAAAAAATGATTTTAAAAGCATACAATGAATTTCTATAAAAAACATCCAATACTTTAATAATTGCTATAGATATAAAATAAGATAGGGACTCCTGGGTGGCTCAGTTGGTTAAGTACCAACTCTTGATTTCTGCTCAGGTCATGATCTCAGGGGTGTGGGATTGAGCCCTACCTCAGGCTTTGTGCTCAGCGTGGAGTCTGCTTGAGGATTTCTCTCCCTCTGCCCCCCCCACCCCCCCATGCTCTCTCTCTCTCTAAAAAAAAATAAACAAAAAGAAATAAAATGAGATACTTCACGTAAAAGCATTTTTAAGATAGCTGTCAAATTTTAACTATTGAGAGCATAGTTCTACAACAACTTCATACTATAAAATTGATTATTGTAACTAGAATCTCATTATAATATTGAAAAATATATTTAAAACTGGCAAAGTATTAATAAACATTATTATATTTTTCCCTTTTTATCTAGATGTGAAAATGTATGAAACCCATTTGAAGCCATGCTTCCTGCATGTATTCTCTTCCATTTTTTTCTTATTAAAAGTAATAGTTCCATATCCAAGCAGCACACAAAATCTTTCAATCTGATCAAGCCCTTTTCTGAAACAATACTCTCCAGCAAACCCCAAGAAAAGCAATGTTTTCCAGAGTTGTTGATTGTTCACATTAGGGGGATCAGTCCTCTGATAGTCTGGTGATATCTATAAGATCTATTAATTTCTCCCTTTATAAAACTGACTTATTGGAATTAAAAGATGTCAGCATAGTCATCCTATTTAAGTGTATGTGCTTACTGGAAATTGGTCAGATCATTCCCAATTTATAGATTAGAAGATGATGGTGGTGAGTTGGGTAGGGTCTTTCTTATACTTTGCACCCAGGGTGGTGATATTGATCACTTGAGAAATTGTCAGAAAGCATTGTTTTACCTTTTCTAATACATAAAGGATATCTCACTTCTCCTCTATTGCATTGTACAGATAATTCAGACAATGAGGTTGATGGAGATAAGTCGTATCCTTGTTTACATACAAAATCTATTAAATCTCCATGTAAGACCTTTCCTTCATACTTCCACTTCATCTCTATGTTATTTCTGTACATGTAATCCACATTAATAGTACATGGCTCTGTAAAACAAAATGTTCTTTTAAATTATTTATTCATTTGACAAATATGAAGTTTAATGTATTTTTGAAAGAAAAATTTTGACAGGTATCAAAAGCAAAGTTTTATATTTAACATTTACATTATTAAAACTCCTCACACATATACATAATATACACTTTATTGCTATCAAATGAATTTATACATCTCTTATTATTATTGTTATATTATAAATTAAAACCACTTAATTTGAACACTAAAAACTATTATCTAAGGGGCGCCTGTGTGGTCCAGTTAAGGGTCTGCCTTCAGCTCAGGTCATGATTCCGGGGTCCTGGGATCGAGGCCAGCATAGGGTTCTCTGCTCAGCGGGAAGCCTGCTTCTCCCACTCCCACTCCCCCTGCTTGTGTTCCCTCCCTTGCTGTCTCTCTCTGTCAAATAAATAAATAAAATCTTAAAAAAATTATTTAAGCTAGAAGAGATGCACTTTATCATTGAATAAAACAACCTGTGGCCACTAGAAAATTGAAAAATGCTCAATTTAGTATACTTAAATAAACCAAATGAAAGATATTAATATATATTAAAAAGTTAATATATTAATACTTAAACAAATCAAATGAAAATAAACTCAATTGATTAGTACTTAAATAAACCAAATTAAAATAATTTTAATTGTTGGGTTAACAATATATGAAGATTAAAATATTCAAGTTGACAAGGATTAAGACAACTACTCTTTAATCCACTGATGGTAGAGTGGATTAACTTTCTGAAGGACAATTTGGCAATGTTGAAAACACACTAAACTTCCATCAAAAAGTGACTAATTTAATTATGGCATATCTGCATTATGGAATACTAGGCAGCCATTAAATTGTATATTGTAGAAGTATACCCAACCATGTTCATAATATAGTTTGTGGGAAAAAAACGAGTTACTAGCCTCTCATGACAGCATATATTTTTTGTAAATATGTGTTGTGTGTGTTGTGTATGTGTGTGTGTGTGTATAAAAAGGTTTAGAAAACCATTATCTAAGTCATTAATAGCATTTATTTCAGCCCAAGTTACTGATATTTTCTGTTTTCTTCTAGTTGCTTCTATATGATTATTTTTTTTGGTAAATAACAATGATTTGCATTTATAGTTTGAAATGCTAATATTTATAATTAAGTGACTATTTTATTTTAACTTAGAGAAAGTTTATGATACCATTACCTATTTGTAAAAGTTACAACGTAACAAGTTCATTGCAACTGTAGTGACCAATTACATTACTTTTAAATGTAATTCTGACTAGCAAAGTTAAAAAATGAGGCAAATCTATAGGCTTGAAATGAAAGGTGAATATTATGTTTTGAAAGTTATCTCAAATGAGATAATTATTTAGATAGTTCTCTTAAATCTCCACTTGAATCATTAATGTTAGTTATACCACGTCTTTCAAAATACATTTAAAGTATTAATTATTAATACTAATTAATTAATTAATTATTATTAAACTATAAACATGTTTTTATTTGCTCAACAAAATAGAACAAAGGTGACCATCCAAGTGAGGAATTGACAGCCAAGAAAGCTATTAACAATATGCTCTACCAAGGAAAGAATTGGATGGATTATTCTCCCCAAATGACATTCTGGGGATAATATAGGGAGAGATGCTAAGGATATCAGTTAGGAAAAAAGTAATCAGTCACAAAAATGTGAATCTACTTAAGGCCATTGAAATGAACACTGAAAAATGGCTAACATGGTAAAGTTCTGTTGTTCAAATTTTACCACAATTTTTTAAAAAGTAGTAGGTAAGAACTAATGTAGTTTTAGACCCTCTGATATTAGATATTCTGCTTACAAAAATGAGAAGGAAAAACACTTTGGAAAAAAAGATTTATACAAAAATCATCATTCCCATGCTATAAAATGTTATATAAAAAATCACATAAAAATACAAATGTAATGGTATAAGAAATTCAATGGGTTGTTATGAAAGGAATAAGTTCTAGGGATCTAACGTACATAATGGTGACTATAGTTAACAATATTGTTTTGAATACTTGAACGTTGCCAAGAGAGTAGATCTTAAATGCACTCATCATAAAGACAAGAACAACAGTAGTACAACTATGACTATGTGAAATGAAGGGAATGTTAATTAACCTGATTGTGGTAGTCATTTCAAAACATATGTGTGTATCAACTCATGGCATTGTACACCTTAAATTCGTATGTTATATGTCAATTGTATCTCAATAGAGCTGGGAAATTTTTTAAAAAAAATACAATGTGTTCTCTGTCTTACCTAAGCAAATAGGTGGGGATGACCATCTTCCTTGTTCACAGTGAGATACTTTTGCTCCACTCAGTAAGTAATATTCATTGCATCTATATTCCACCGAGGATCCTGTTGTGTAGCTTGCCAATAATCCATCAACAACAGCCCCATTTATTACATCAGGTGGAGGCTTACAATTCTCATTATTTTCTAAGAAAAGAGGTTATTTTAAAATTCATATGAATGTATAACAACCTAATGATATCATATAGTTACTCATACTCCTGTCCCTCATTATTTGTATTACATAGTTTAGGACAGTTGATTTCTAAATTCTCCAGAAATGAGAAAAATGTTATTCAGACCAAATATTTTAAAAATTTACTAAGAATAAACAGTAAATGTTTTGCCTAAAAACACATATCTGTCACTTTTCTTATGAAGGAATCATGATACAGATATTCTTAAAATGTATAGAAAGGTAAACAATAACCTGAAGATTATGGTCAATTCTGAAACTATTTTTTGTCATTATCCACTTTTATTTTTTAATTCTCATTCTTTTCATCCCAGATCTCGGTCAATCCATGGATGAAATTGTCTACTTTTTCTCTCTTTAGTTTTTCTTTTACTCTGCTCATTTCTTTAGCATCCTCAATAGCTTTTCTCTTATGCAATAAATATCTTAAGTAAACATGTTTGTGGAGATCTTTCTAGGAGAGATCAAGAAATGAGAAGGGTGACAGGAACTGTAGCACCCAGGAGTGGGTGTGACCATAGCCTGGTTGTGCGTTAGTGAAACAAAAGACCAGGGACAGGTCTCAGAATGGTGTAGGGCTCAAACTGGCCAGATGCATAAGTAATATCAGAAGGATTGACCCAAAGGCAGGAACAGAGTGCTCTAACATGACTTTGTAGGACATGAAGGAAGAGAAAGAAGATCATGATCAAGGCCAGTCACCCATTCCACTGTTACTTATGTGCTTTCATCTAAAGCTCAGAAGTCATGGTGTCAAACAGGTCAGATAAGAGTGCTTAGTTAGCACTAATGTATATTCAAAAAAATTTTTTTAGTTTCCCAATTATTTATATTGGGTTAAATTCTAAGAAGGCTGCATATACACAAAAAAAGTAGCAGAGTAGGTGCTGAATCAGTGTGTTTTCTAAGAAATATGTGGATTAAATAAGGAAAATGAAAAATTTTTACACAACAGGCTCAGCTATCGCTGGTAAGTGTAGCATACATACCAACACACTCAGGAGGATGTGTCCACTTCCCACGTTTACAAGTTATTTCTGTTGATCCACGAAGATGATACCCACTTTTACATTCATATGCCACTTTATCCCCATTGTAATAAATTGTAGAGTCCAGGTTTGCTGTACCATTCTCAATGAAGGGTGGGTCCCCACAGGCTGTCTTCTCCTTTTCTTCTGAAAAGAGACCAATTAAAGAGAAGAGACCATTTGGCTGTACATGCAGACTTAATTTTAGGGAAAGCTGATTAAGGTGTTGCTAACCAATGCATTTTGGAGGTTCTGTCCACTTTCCATTTTTACAACGTATTTCTTCTGATCCTTGTATCTGAAAATTAAGTTCACATTCTACATGAACTGTTTCTCCATCACGATAAGTTGTTGAATATCTTTGAATTTTGGAGTTTAGAGGCAGAGGCGGAGGAGGACATCGATTTCTTCTTCCTTATTAAAAAAAAATCACCATATTTGGTCATATAATTACAAAAAATAATATGTAGATTTAATAAGCACATTCATAGAGCCAAGTACCATAGGAAGTATGGAAGACAGACCCTAAGGTCACCCCCTTGATCTCCACTTTTGATGTTTTTGATGTTCACTTCCTTATGTGATAACCCTCCTCATAAGCAGGAATTGTGACTTGCTTCTAACCAATGAATGCAGCAAAGAAAATGGGAGTATGTGATTATGTATGCATGATATGCAACAGAGGATGGTAAGGCCATTCTTGCTGAGAGACTATTTTCCTGCTGATTTTGATAAAAAGCAAGCCCCCACATTGTAAGTTTCCAAATGAGGGGGCAAGGGGCAGAGGGCTGCCTACAGCTGGCAGCCAAGAAGAAATTGAGGCTCTCAGTTCAGCTGTCAGCCAAGTACTCAGTGCTACCAATAACCATGAGTTTGAAAGCAGATTCTTCCCCAGTCAAGCCTCAGATGAGACTGAAGCCCCAGCTGACATTTTATTGCAGCTTTGTCCAACAGGAGGGCAGAGGAGCCAGATAAGTTAGGCTCAGACTCCTACAGAAATTATGAAATAATGCAAGTGTGCTGTTTTAAGCTGCTAAATTTGTAATGGCATTGTTATGGACCAATAGAAAACTAAAAAAGCAAGCAAATTAAAACAGCATTCATTACCTCCTCTAATCCTAAAATAACTTTATTAAGCAGGGATAATTTTTGTCTCATATTATAGATAAATAAACTGAAACTTCTGAAGTAAGTAAATTAACTATTAAATGGTGGATCTGTTCTTGTACCTATGTCCATATGAATTAAATAAAATCTGTTCTTCAGTATTCTAAAACACAGACTGTCTTAATTTTTTATTGCTATTGTGACAAATTATTATAATAAAGTGGCTTAAAATAGCACAAATTTATTCTCTTACAGTTCTGGAAGCCAAAAGTCCAGAATCAGTTTCACTGGGCTAAAATCAAGTTGTCAGGAGAGCTGCATTCCTTCTGCAAGCTTTATGAATCAGCTTCTTTGCCTTTTCAAGCTTCTGGAGGCTGCATGCGTTCCTAGGCACATGACCTTTCCTCTTATTGCTCCAACCTCTTGCTTCCATTCCATTGTCACATCTCTATTCCACTTCTGTAGTCAAATTTCCCTCTGCCTCCCTCTTATAAAGAGGCTTGTGATTATATTTAGGGTCCACATGGATAATCCCAGAAATTATTCCTACCTCAAGATCTTTAATTTTATCACATGTGCGAAGTCCCTTTAGCCATATAAGTAAGGTAACATTCACTGGTTCCGGGGATTAGGATGTAATTTATTATTATTCAGCCAACTGCACTGCCTACCATACATCTAATGACTATTTACTAGCGAAAATAACAGGCACACTTGCATGCTAATTTGGATGGGGGCTGATGGAGTAGATTTTAAGTAGGTTTACCATTTATTTCTGAAATAACATGCTAGAGACAATTTGATAACATTCTTCTTCTCTACTGTTAGACCAAAGTTCTTGGGCAGGACTGGAAAATTAAAAACTAAAATAAAAACATTGAAGTTATCATTTGGTGCATTTAAAGAATTAGGATCATTCTGGGCAATCTCATTTCATACCCCTGGTCATCTCCCTCTTCCACCCCCTCCTAGCATTTGCTTCAAATCTTCACCCCCTCTTCCAAGTTCCACTTTCCTGTCTTCCTCTTGTCTATCAATAATGACATTAATTTCTATATCGCAGAGAAAATAGAGGCTATCAAGACTTTTACCTCTCCCCATTCCCCCAAATCCTCAAACTCCTTTTTATCTTTCAGTGCAAATGTTATCCATCACCTCCAAAAATGGTATCCCACACCATACCAATCAAAATCTTCAGGGTTTGTTCAAATACTTTATACCTGACTTGATTATATTTGTCACATTATGTCAATTACTTTTTCAAATTTGTTCCCTCTGCTAGGCTTGGACTTCCTTCATATCTCATTGTAGGTATGTTTAAATGATGCTTGAATTGTTGTTTCCCAATAGGTGATCATACTATCTGCTTGGACATGTGCAGTGGTAGAAACTTACCATACATAGACATTACATTTTAGGAGAGTTCTTACTCGAGGACCATAGTTTTCATTTTTACTCTGGGTAATATTCTCCTGATTTTTCTGTTCTTTACCCACACCATTTTGAAGACTGTTTTTTCACATCAGGAAATATGTAGCCAAATAGGAAAGATGCCTCACAAAGCTGCCAGCTTGGGATAGTTGGGTCTAGTAATTCCCAATAAATATTTTATTCCTTATAATAAGAGAGTTTAAAAGTTATATCCACTTTACAAACTAATGCAAAATTTAAGATTTCTTCCAGATTAAATATTGCTGAAAATATCTAGCAATGATTTAAAAGACCATACTTATTTTTAAAAATAGCCCTCCGCATAATACCCCCAGTTCCATCCACGTCATTGCAAATGGCAAGATTTCCTTCTTTTTGATGGCTGAGTAATCATAAGTCAGTCAGAGAAAGACATATACTATATGATTTCACTCATATGTGGAATTTAAGAAACAAAACAGATGAACATAGGGGAAGGGAAGGAAAAATAAAAAGACGAAAACAGAGAGGGAGGCAAACCATAGGAGATGCTGCCATAGGAGACGCTGAATTCTAGGAAACTGAGGGTTGCAGGAGGGGAGGTGGTGGGGGGATGAGGTAACCGGGGGATGGGCATTTTAAGGAAAGCACTTGAAGTAATGAGCACTGGGTGTTGTATGCAACTGATAAATCACTAAACTCTGCCTCTGAAACTTAAAAAAAAAGCACTCAGGACAAGAATTAGATATCATCAGAAACATTTTTTTCATAGACATTAAAGCTGATTAAGACATGATATTTTATTTGTACGAGTGTGAAATTTTAAAAATTACCTTCACATACAGGAGATTCTGGGTACCAACCAAAGTTATAGCACTGAATTAAGTCAGATCCACTTAGATAATAATTTGTATGACAGAAAAACTGAACTACATCTCCTTCTTCATATGTTTGCTTTATAGGATGAAAATAACCATTTTCTATTAATCTTAAAGAGCACTTTAATTCTAAAAATGAAAGAACAAATAAAATACAAAAGTGTTATTTTTTCTGTTGAACAAAATTCACCTACTACTTATATTCCATATCTGGAATAGAAATTAGTAAATTTGCCATATTTTGTTATATATAACAAAAGCTTGTCAATTCCTATATTTATTAAATATCATTAGGCTTATTTTAATGTAATCTGAGCTAAAAGAAATTCTTTTTCTATTTGAGATCTTTAAGTGATCAAAGCCTATGATCAAAATAATTAAAACCAGAAGCAAAAAAAAAAAAAAAAAACCCAAAAAAGTATGAAAAATGAAACATGAGTGTGACAATTTATATACACTTCTGGACGAGAGAAAGTTTTGAAAATGAGACTAGATTGTCTTTAAAATGAGAACCTACTGGTACATTTTGGTGTGAGAGACCATCCATATGTGTGACATTCTACCTCCTCGGTCTTCTTTCCTCCAACTGTATAGTAGCCAGCAGCACATTCATATTGTACTTTGTCCTTCACTTTGAATGTTTTCTGCGTTGTGGAATAATTTCCATGGTATAATTCAGGGACCAAACATGTTTCTAAAAAAAAAAATCAATGTTATTTATTTTATGAAATTTATCACTAAAACTATAATATTAAAAAGAAATCTCAAAATGTATTTTCACAAAATCTTAAGCATATTTGGCTGAATCCACCTTTGGCCAAATTGAAAAACAGCCAGTTTGCCTTTGTGTCTCTATTTCCTTTTTTTTAATACACCTTGTGTCTTAATGCCACCAGTCTTCTATTCTTGAAATTCTACTCTAGTATACTTGGCAGAAGGCCACAATTCAACTGAAGCCTTGTACAGCTTTTTTGATTCTGTGCCATCTGAGGATTTGTACAATTTAAACAACTAAAAACACACTAACAAAGTATACATATTCAAATTATTGGATTATTTTAAGTATGCCTGATATTGGTTTACCAATAAAGATAATGGGCATTATCTTGAATTCTTCTCTAATAAAGGAAACAGTAATTTATATATGTTGCCAGAAAAAGGTCTAAAGTTTTTTTCATCCTATTCCATTCCACTCTTTTTTTTCTAAGATTTCATTTATTCACTAGATCCTATGGTAATTCTATGTTTAATTTTTAGAAGAACTGCCACCCACCCAAGTGTCCATCAATGGATCAATGGATAAACAAAGTGTGTATATATGATATATCTATATATGTATATGTATATTTATATACATACACAATAGAATATTATTTAGCCATAAAAAGAAATTAAATTCTGATGCCTGCTACAACTTAGATGAATCTTGAATACATTATGCTAAGTGAAATAAGTCAGACACAAAAGAGTAATATTGCATGACTCCTCTTATACAAAGTACCTAAAATAAGGAAACTGATAGAGACAGAAAATAGAAGTTACCAGGTACTGGGGTAGGGTGGGGGATAGAGGGGTTTGTTGTTTAATGGGTACAGAGTTTCTGTTTGGGTTGATGAAAAAGTTTTGGAAATAGTAGTGATGGTTATACAACATTGTGAATGAACTTAATGCTATGGAATTGTACACTTAAAAATAGTTAAAATTTCATGTTATGTATATTTTACTGCAATTAAAAAAAAAAGATCAAGGTTTGCCAACGGTTGGTGGAAAGGAAAAATGGATGAATAGGTTGAACACAAGGGATTCTTAGGGCATTGAAACTATTCTGTATGATATCTTAATGGTGGATACATGTCATTATACACTGGACAAAATCCACAGCATGTATAAGATAAAGAATGAACCCTAAAGTGTGAACTTCAATTAATGTATCAGTATTGGCTCATCAATTACAACAAATATACTACACTAAATGCAAAATGCAAATAATAGGGGAAAGTGTATGTGGGCAAGGGCAAGAAGGGGTACATGGGAACTCTCTGTATTAGCTGCTCAATATTTCTGCAAATCCAAAACTGCTCTAAAAATAAGTCTATTAATATTAAAAAAATTAAATAGGAACTAATGGAGTAGGTGAGTTGTGGGAATTGAGAACTCTTGGGTTAAGGAAACACCTAACATTTAAGAAAAACAATATAATATCAACTTCTTGCATTTGCAGACATACTGAAAAATTAATTCTATTAAATAAAAATGCCTATCAATATAAGAAAGTACTAGCCTCGCAGTCTCTTATCTTCAGTTTTGGGAAGTGATTCTTAAACACATACCATGTTCCTTCTTACAGGTAGGTTGAGAAGACCATCCATCAGCAAGACACTGAACCACTTCTTCATCCTTTCCTCCAGTGGTTTTATATCCTGAATTACAACCATAACGCATGTTCTCTTGAATTTTGTACACTAATGTTACATCAGAGATGTAACCATTTTTCAGCTCAGGCTTAGTGCATTTTTCTATGGGAAAAAAATCTTTGCTTAACTTGGTGAAATTAAGCTTGTCTTTTACTTAGTTGTAAAACCAAGGCAAAAGTTTAATATTTTTCTTGGAATTTAAAGGAGAGAGAAAAATCTCACTCAATTCCTTGATTTGATTTAATTTTGGAATTATCCTGCATGTTCTGCATCAAATTTCTTCAAAAACTGATTCAACTTCACAATGACATTCTTTGTGCTTATTGACTTCAGTTCTTGTAGTGACTCCCACCCTATCATATCTACTTTTAGAAAATATAACAGAGCTCTTTCACTAACTGTCATTAATGGCAAATGGAAGGAATTTCATTTGGATTTACTTCCTAATATTTTTAAATCTACTGTGTTTGACAATTTTTAACACCATGTAACAAAAGCACATACCCAGCTTATGGATCCTTAAATAAGTCTGCAGATACCTTAATGTGAAAACTTTGTTCATTCTTTTTTTTCTTTTAATTCAGCCACACAATAAGTCCGTGTAGCCAGTCCATGGTCAGGCTGTGTAGACCGTGACTGAATCATAGACATGTTACTCAAAACCTTTGAGTTTGCAGAGTTATTTTTTATCAAATACTTGCAACAATGTTGTGTTAGATAATATATGTACCTCAGCTCAGTAATTTTTTTAAGCCCTACTATTAGACCCTCATAACAAACCAATTCAGAAAGGTTAAGAGACTTATCCAAGGTTAGTATTAAATATATGTAGTACTTGCTGTGTGGCAAGCACTTTATATGGATTATCTTAGTGAAGCAGGTTTATGCCCATTTTATAGATGAGAAACTTAGGCTCACAATGCTCACTTTCCAATGGTGGAGCAGAATTCAAAGGCAGGCAGGTGAACTGCAGAGCTTGTATCTTAACCATTAGACTACATGCTAAACCTGAGTTCTTCTCTTCTGGTGCCTATTTCAAAGCTCTTGCTAATGTTAAATTTATTTTTAAGCTCTAGTTATGAATATTGCTTTCTTTCTTTCTTTGAGTTAATCTGTGGTCTATGTTAATACTAAATGTGCAATGCTTAAATTTATGGTCTGTTCTCAAGTCATGGAAAGGATCATTATTCTAAATGGATATGGTCACTAGATATATTAAGCATGGTAACCATCATACTCATTTCCTCTTCCAAATAAAACAAACCCAACTAAAGCCTCTACTCTGCAAAACAGAGCTTAGAGAATCTTTTGTTCAGGAGAGGTCAGCTGATCTAATGGAAGCCCATTAATAGTTTGACTATAGGGTAGCCTGGCATGAAATAATGAGATGAACCAATCAGATTTCCTTTTTCTAAATTTGAACTCAAAATTCAGAAAACACATTTTTCTGAATTTGTGGGAGAAGTTGGCACACAAAGGAGAGATGAGTCTTTCAAAGGATAAAACACTGGAGTAACAATTTTATTCTTCCTAAGTCCAGTGTCAAGCATTTTTCTGGCTTCCTATGCATTATTATCTGTATAAGTTCCTCATTCCTTAAAGTAACTCATTTGCATCTGTTTCTTGCAATATGATAATACCATTTTCAATAATTATCCGTATTCTCTTTATAGGGTATTATTAAAAACAAAGACAATAACACTTTAATAAGAAATATTATTTACAGAATTTCAAAATATGTCTTCATTTTGTAAAAGAGACAGTGGGCCTGTAATTTGTTCTTATCGACCAAAAGGTTTCACCACCCACCAAGTTTTCTTGGACCTTTATGGACTGATCTCTTTAAATATTATAAACATTTTGTGGACACAGCCCACAGACTCACTGAAGCAACGTGGTTCTGGAGACCAGCCCTCTTGGGTACATGTGATTCGCTCCTCTTGTTTCCCAGTTTCAGTGGTATAACCAGCCAAGCAGGAAAACAACAGTTTTTCATTTATTCTCATTGGAAAGTAATAGTTTTTAAAAGAATAGTAATATTGGGCAATCCTTCCATTTTCCACACTAGGAAGACCACAGGGTTTCTCTGAAATGAGTAAATATCAAGCTGAAAACTAAAAAACATATCTAAAACCATGGAATGTGTGATCAAATGGCAGTAAATTTTTAAATTCAAAGTGTTTGCAGTGACTTTAACTCGTACTTATTTTTATTACCTGGCTTTTTAAGGGGATTCTGTGGCAATCTTTTTCAGTCAGAATTAATCTGCTAGCAACCCCAATAACCAACAGTCAGAATAAAGCTGGTCAGGCTACTTCCTCAGGGATGCTTTCCCTAACTTTGTAACACAGCACTTTCTCATAGACATATAATGCAAGCTGCATATGTAATTTTAAAATTTCTAGTAGTCACATTAATAAAAGGAACAGTTGAAGTTAATTTTAATAATACATTTTATTTAACCCATTAAAATATTAAAAATGTTTTTCATTTTTTTTCTTACTAAGTCTGAACTCCAGAGTGTATTTATACTTACAGCCCCTCCCAATTTGGACTAACCACATTTCAATAGCTGTATATACCTAGTGCCTACCATACTGGACAGCAGGGTTCTAGAACAGATGAAGTTCTACTTAAATAGGCAAACCCACAAAATTTTGAAATGAATGGCTTTTTTTAAATAAAAAGACAGAAAACTAATTAAAAATAATTATAAATAATAAGAAAATAATTAAAAAATAAGTTTAAAAAAATCTTATTTAATAAATTTAAAAAATCTTGCTCGAGCAAGAGCTTTACAAAACAGGACATGTAAATGGTCACAGACCTCATAAAAAGTACTCGGCTTTCTTTGGCAATATTAAGGCAGAATGTACGCATGCCATTTTTAAAAAGCACTCATCCCTTATGAACACTGCTGCAAAAATTCTCAACAAAATAGTGCAAACAGAATTCAGCAGCATAGCAAAAGGATCCATGAGCACGTGGGCTTTATCCTTGGAATGCAAGGATGATTCAACATATGAAAATTGGTCAATGTTACACACCACATCAACAAAATGAAAGATAGAATAAAAGTATTTATCTGTGCACTCAAAGACATGTAAAAGAATGTTCATAGCAGCACTATTCATGTAGTCCCAAACTGGAAACAATCCCAATGCCCATTCCATGGAAGAAAAGACAAACACATTTTAGACATGCATTCAGTGGAATATTATACAGCAATGCAATGCTGAATATCATGCAGCAGTAGTGAATGTTGAATAGTGAATCTCACAAACATATTACTTAGTGAAAGAAGACTGTCACACATAAGTAAATATTATATGTACTGACATAATTTTTTATTGAGGTATAATTGAGGTTAACATTATACTAGTTTTGGATATACAGCACAATGGTTCCACATGTATATTTGCACATATTACAAAATGATTTCACAATAAATCTAGTTAACATCTGTCACCACAGAGTTACAATTTTTTTCCCTTGTGATGAGCACTTTTAAGAACTGCTCTCTTAGCAATTTTCAAACACACATGGGGCGCCTGGGTGGCTCAGTCGTTAAGTGTCTGCCTTCAGCCCAGGTCATGATCCCGGGGTCCTGGGATCGAGCCCCGCGTCGGGCTCCCTGCTCAGTGGGAAGCCTGCCTCTCCCTCTCCCACTCCCTCTGTTTGTGTTCCCTCTCTCACTGTGTCTCTCTCTGTCAAATAAATAAAATCTAAAAAAAAAAACACACACACACATGTGAACATATACAGGACAAGTTGTAACAAGAAATAAGGTGATTATATGACACATTCATAATTCTAAATGTTATTTGTGGTTAGAAGGAAATTAGAGGTAATGATGTGTCCATCACAAGTAAGATGGATAAGTAAAATATCTGAAACACTATGCAGCAGTTAAAAGCAACAGAATAGATTCAGCAGCATGGAACTGTATTTAAATGATAGCAAGTAAAACAAAACAGTACAGAGATCAAACTGATGGCAAGCTTTCATTTATGTGAATGTAAAGCACATACACAAAAGAAGACATAATTCAGAAAGATAGTCACATATCATATTTAAGAATATATCAAACACACAATAGTGGCTCCCAGTTTGATGTAGGGGAAATGGAATTCAGGGTCAGGGATAAAGGGAGGAAGTGTATAAATAAAGCAAAAGTGGAAACTTTCATAGGCCAATGATGATTGCCTGCCACAAAATGAGAAGTACCATTAATTCAACTCTTGCCCCGAATATTCTTAATGGGGATGAGAGAAAGCATGGAAAGATGAGATTATTGTTAGCTTGTTTGTTTGTTTGAGTAAAAGAAGGTTATAACCGTATAATAATTAGGAAATTATCTGGGAAATGCAATGTCTTTTTTTTTTTAAGATTTTATTATTTATTTGTCAGAGAGAGAGAGCACAAGCAGGGGAAGGGACAGGAAGAAGCAGGCTTCCCACTGAGCAAGGAGCCCGATGCGGGACCTGATCCCAAGACCCTGGGATCATGACCTGAGCTGAAGATAGACGCTTAACCAACTGAGCCACCCAGGCATCCTGAGGAAAATGCAATGTCTTCATGGTATATAGATGACAGAGAATTATATCAGCTGGTTTTTCCCTATTTAGACAGAAAAATAAAACCAAAGGAAACTATTCATGCAAAAATTATCTTATTATAGAATTGAATGTATCAAATAAGATGAATTCTATTTATTTCACTTTCATAATCTTAATTGCAGACCTTTTTTGGTAGGAAATTTGTAGCAAACTATTACCTACAAGGCAATTATAATCCATAGAATATTTTATTTCAACAGATTCCCTAAGGTGTTTATTTTAGAAAAGTCTTACTGCTGTGGTTTCCTCTTTTGTATATTCACTCTTGCTGACACCTAATTATCCTTTCTTGTTTCTTATCCCTACAGCCTAATAACACTATTAACTCTTCCTAAATAACCCACACTTATTTATTGCCTGCTTCACTCACACTTATTTACACACGGAGCTCTGGCTATAAAGATTTCTAAGAGTTAGGGAGTCCATGGGTATTGGTTTGGACAGTCCTAACTTATACTGGTGTCTCACATAATTATTAATAGAGCTCCATTTCACTCTCAAAAATGTCCTTATCTGCATAACCAATTATACAGTCCTCCTTCTAATCACTACTTACAAATTTCAACCAATGAATAAATTAGGATAAAAATCAAAGGGTGAAGATTCAAAAATCTTGATGATTCATGGCTATTTCTTTTTCAAATCTCCTACACTAAGCTCTCACTTTATGAACTTTATGAAGAGAAAATTAAAATTGTACAAGCTGTGCAATGTTAGGAATAAATTCTAGTATGAAATTAGAATTAAGATTAACATATGACTTCTAAATGGTGGTACTGTTAGACTGAAAATCCTTTAAAGTGTTTAGATCCTCACCTCCTATGTCATAAAACCTAGAGATACAAAGCTGTTTTTTTTTTCCTTTTTTGTCTTTTGTTTTTCTAAGTTTGTCACTCTAAGAATAGTTTACTAGTTATGCCCAAAGGAAAAAAAAAATCTGCTTATGTATTTATAACAAATTATAAGAAGTATGCTTTTTATAAAGTTGATACGTAAAAATGAAAGACTATAAAAGTTCAAGTTAAATGAATGTTAGAATTTCCCTTTATAATTTTTAGAGAATAAGGAATATGAAAAATTAATTTTACCTCCTGCATAGACTTCTCCTGAGATGATTAATATGATGATAAAAGCCAAATCTTTTGACCTCATCTTCAATGGTGTGCCCAACAAAGATTTTAACAATTCTAAAGCAATAGGGACTCATTAAGTACACAATACTTTGCCTGAAGAAAAAGTTAATTATTTACAACATCTGTCAAAGTGTCTTTGTAACAAAACTTATATTTCATTTAAAATATTTTCAAATAATTCTAAAATAACATGACTATGTTAATCAACAATACTTTTCATGCCAGAGTCCAATAAGAATGCGATAATTCATAAGGGCAACAATAGCAACAGCACAAATCATTAACTCAGGCTGCATAAGATCAAGGTAAATTTTCAACTTCAATTCCCTATTGTAAGTCCATGGAGTAAAGTTCACCTGTGGTCATTGATTTCTTTACCACCATTGATCAAATGGAGAGGTGAACTTAGAAACATGAGGTAATGGATACCTCATGTGAAAACACAGTTGTCTAGGTTACACTGCTTAAAGAGAAAAATGACCTACTTGTCTCAAGCAATGATAAAACTGTATTACTGATAGTAATGTCTAATGTTTAGAGCGTTTGTGTTCTGTGGCAGGTGATGAACTCAGCATGTGCTCTATTATCATTCATGTGTGAAAAATGTTCTAGGTGATCACTGTATACCAGGTCCTGCTCTAATCTTGGGTATATAGCAGTGGAAAGAAAAAGATTAAAATTACGGTCCTCATGGAGTTTACATTCTAATGCGTTTTAATTTGAACTATAAAATAATATAGTGAGGTGAGAGCTGTTATTATTTTTATTTTGTAACTTTTTATTAAAATAAAATACATTCGGAGAAAAGTACACATGCCATAACAGCACAGAACAATGAATTCTCACTAGCTGAACACATTTCACAATAAGAAACAGAATATACCAGCACATCATAGGTTGTGGGATTGAGTCCTGCATCCGGGCTCCCTGTTTCACGGGGGAGTCTGCTTTAAGGATTCTCTTCCTCTGCCCCTCCCCTCACTTGCGTGCGCGTTTCTCTCTCTCCCCTTTCTCTCTATATTGCCATGGTATCTTACAACACTCCTTTGGTTTAATTTTTAATCAATGAATGTAAAATAAATCTTTGTGAACAGTGTCAGAAAAGTACCCAACCTCATTTTTTTAAAAAAATATTTCATTTGAGAGAGAGAGCTCGCCCACGTGCGCTCTGGCAATTGTGGGGGAGGGGCAGAGAGAAAGAGACAAGCAGACTCCCCGCTGAGCAGGGAGCTCAGGTTCAGGCTGGATCCCAGGACTCTGGGATCCTGACCTGAGCTGCAGGCAGGCACTTAATTGACTGAGCCACCCAGGCGCCCCACAGCCTCATTTTTTTCCAGAGCGTTGTCATGTTAGGAAGACTTTGGAGTCACTCAATGCTGATTTATAATCTCAATATCCAGATTGTGACTTTGGAAAATGAGGACTCATTTGTACCTACATTTCCACATTTCTAAAATAATTGTAAAAATAGTAGCTACCTCAAGCATGTTATGGAAATTCTACTGAGGATAATTTAGTACTCCACATTTTGCTGATCCCTAAAAAAGTCGCTATTAAAAATGATTTTAGAAATAAGATCCTAAGCCAAATTTCATAATTACATTCCAAGGAAGTATATCTCAATTCAGGGGGGAAAAGGGGTAATAATGCATTTAGTGGAAATATTAAAAGATAATAAAGATGAAATTATAAATGTGTCATTCTCTCTAATTCTCTTTCCTTCTTTCTTCCTTCATTATCTCTCAAACTTACCTGTCAATAATAAAAATCTAAAATCTCTCTACTTCATATAGGTTTTGAATAGCCAACTATAACAACAGTTTCTTTTTAATTATATAACTGAGTATATTCTATGGACTATATACATACTTGACAAAATATCATTTATACCCAACATTTTTCCAAAATTCGCACATTAGGGATAAACAACGAAAAGTGTGGCTCACTTCTCTTATTTGTATCTCCTGTAAAGTTTGCTTAATACATGCCAAAATACACGTCCAAGACTTTAGGACACCGCAGCTCTTATACCAACCTAGATTTTACCCAGTAGATGCATGCTCAGAAAAAAACAGATGTCAAAAGTGAATATCATAAAGCAGAAGCCACATTTATGTTGGTTCTACCATTTTGCCTAGTTTGAACAATCCTGGAAGCACATGGCTTTACTGAAACTGGTGCAGCAGAAGCCTGAGACTCTAGTGTCTAGCTTCATGGATGTCAAGGGGCAGGTTATGAAGTATTTACTGTTGATAACAATTACAGTAAATATGGTATGGTCCTGACCCCAGCATTGTGCAGGTGTGTTCCTGATTCAACTTCAAGATCTTGGCAGAAGCAGCTCATGCCCAGGCCAGTTTTGTGGTGTGCTATTAGGAGTACTGGGAGCATATATGTATGTGGGGTAACATCATCTAACTGGAGCCTCAGTATAACAATGATGGAAATTAAGGGAAAGGGAAAATCTTGATATTATTAAAAGAAAAAAAGTTACCTTCAAACAAGCAGTAATAGGACTGATGAACTTCTTAACATAAGTGATAAAAACAAGGAGAAAGTGGAATAACATCTTTAATATGTTAAATGAAAATAATTGCCAACCAAGAATGCTATAACTACTAAAAATATTTTCAAAAATAAAAGAAAGATGTTTTCAAATAAATAAAAATATAAAGAGTATGTCTACCTAGTAGCTACCTAAAGTAGAACTTTTGTTCAACTTTAGTAGAACTCTACCTAAAGAATAGTAGTAGAACTCTACCTAAAGAATGGCTAAATGGAGTGCTGTAGACTAAAGGAAAATGAAACATGAAAATTCAGGAAGGAAATAAGACCAAAGAATAAGGGGTGAGGGAAGGAGCTTAGGTCTGTGGGTAAATATAAGAGAATATTAACTGCACAAAAGAAAACCAATAATGCTTACATAGCAAATAGATATGTAGAATTAAAATGCATGGCATCGATAACACAAAAGCCAAGAGGGAAGAAATGGACTCAGTGTGCTTGGTTTCTAGGACTTTCAAAGAAGTTGGAGAAGTAGTAATGCCTACTTAATTATCATTACTCAAGGTTCAGTATATAAAATTTCGAGGTTAACCACTACAGAATAATGTTTAAAAAATGTGTAATTAATAGATTAAAGGGATAAAAATAATTACAAAAAACTCACACATGATAATCCTAAATAAAGACCAGAAAGTAGAAAGGAAGGAACAAAAACAGATTTCTGCTTATGGCTAAGATGGAGTAACAGGAACTGGATATACCCTCCCACCTGAAACAACTTAAAAAAAAAAAAGACAAAATTAAAAAAACAATAGTTTTTAAGACATTGGAGATTAGGCAATGAGATGAGCCCTGTGATCACCCAAGCCTAGTGCCTGAGGGTTTCTTGCCACACTACACAGTATGGTGGTCTTCCTGAGGTGAGGAGATAGAACTGAGAATTATGAAACCAAAGCAGGTAGGATTCAGAGTGCAAAGTACAGGAGAGAAGAGAGCTGCCTAGACAGATCTGCAGAGCGTCCACGTTAGGTTTTTAGCTGAGTACTGACCAGAACATCTGAATGAAAAACGTATCAGAGGCCAAGAAAGGTATCATCTGAGAAGATTAAAGGGAGGAATGCCTGGAGTCCACTTGGGATTGGGGAGAATTCCTGTTCTCACAAGTCAGAGTGGAACTCTTCATGATTTACAGGGCATTCATAATGCTCTCAGGAGGTTTTTACCTTAGTAGTGGGGAAAAGCTGAGCTTAAAGCAATACCAGAAAGGATCAGTTCCCAAGTAAAGTAAATGAATTCCAGAACAAACTCAAAAGTATTTATAGGAGTACAAAATTATCCAATAACCAAAGAGGTAAGATTCACAATGTCCCCAAAGGAGAGAATGGGAAGGAAAGAAAGTATTTGCAGAAATAATAGCTGAACATTTTCCAAATTTGAGGGAAACTATAAGAACATAGATCAAAGGTGATCAAACACTAAGAACAAGAAGCATAAAGAAAACTAGAGTAAAACAAAACATAATCAAATTGCTTAAACCTAGAAATTGAAAAATTTAAAAGCACTCAGAAGAAAAACACCCCAGAGGAAAAAAAACAAGAAGTGAGTAGACTTTTTGTCAGAAACACTGCAAGTCAGAAAACAGTTGAAACAACATCTTTAAGTACAAGGAAAAAAAGAAGAAAGAAATAAAGGAAACCTGCAACCTAGAACTCTATACCCAGTAAAAATACTTTTAAGAAATGAAAGCCAAAGAATAGATAAGCAAAATATGTTTTTCAGACATATAGAAGCTGAAATTCTTCATTAACAGGCCTGCATGATGAACCATATTAAAGGAATTCCTTCAGGCCCAAGGAAAATGATGCCAGATGGAAATCTGGATCTACATAAAAACTGAAGAGCACCTTAAAACAGCACCTATGTGAGCAAGTTTAAAGATTTTTAGATTATTTAAATCTTTTAAAAAGATATCTGATGGTTTAAAGCAAAAATGATGAAAATAACAAATTATTGTGGTTTATAATATACTAAAAGTAAAATGTTGACAAGAGCAGAAAGATTGAGAAGGCAGAAATGTAGTATGTTGCAAGGCCTTTCTTTATAGTATATGTGAATTGGTATAATATCACTTACAGGTGGATTCTGATACGTTAAGGATATTTACTAAAAACCTGAAAGTAACCAATAGAATAACATAACAAAGAGTTATAGGTAATAGCCAACAAGGTAGATAAGTTGGAATCATTAAAAAAGAAGAAAAGAACCTATTTAATTAATCCGAAACAGATCAGAAAGCAAAAGGGTGGTAATGAGGGAAGCAGATGGGATGAATAGAACATAAACAGCAAGAGGACAGATTTAAACTCAGCCATATCAGTGATTACATTAACTGTAAAAAGTCTAAATATCCAAAGTAAAAGGCAGAGATGGGCTGGCTGGATTAAAATATAAAGACCCAACTATATGCATTCAACAAGAAACCCATCTTACACAAATATACAAATAGGTTAAAAGTAAAA